TCTCTCTCTCTCTCTCTCTCTCTCTCTCTCTTTCTCTCTCTCTCTCTCCCTAGGGAATCGTCAACCCTGAGCATCATTCCTCATGTGTCATTCATCTTATTAATTTAATTTATTATTTCTCTAGTTCTCTCTGTGTGTAGACATGTGGGAGGGTTGTATTAGCTTATATTTGTGTGCATGGAGACTAGAGATCCACGTATAGAAATGGCATCACTCTCCATCTTATTTTTAAGATCGGTTTACATATCTATCTATCATCTATCTGTATATGTATGTGTACCACGAGTGCAGGTGATTGTAAAGGCCAGAGAGGGCATCAGATCCCCTGGAACGGGAGTTGCAGGCAATTGTGAGCCTTCTGATGTGAGTGCTTGGAACTGAACCCCGGTCCTCTGCAAGGTCAGTACTCACTCTTAACCAATGACCCATCTCTCAGGCCTTCTCTGTCTTATTTTGTGAAACAGCGTTCCTCATTGAACCTAGATCTTGTTCTGGCAGCCCAGGCTGGCCAGTGTGTCCCTCAGCTCTGGGGTTATGGATATACTCTGTCACTCTCTTCTCAGGATTTGAACTCAGATTCTTAAGCTCCTGCCACAGCCTCTTTACTCGCGGAACCATCTCCCCAGCGCCATCTTGTTATTTTTGAAACAGTGTGTCTCACTGCCTTTAGAGCTCTCGGATTAGGCTGGGCTGGCTGGCCAGCAAGCCTCAGGAATCCTTGGTCCCCAGCTCCCCAGCACTGGGATTACAAGTTACAGCCACCATGCCCAGCTCCTTTCCTTGGGCCCTGGGAATAGAACTCGGTCCTCAATGCTTTACCCACTGAGCTAGCTCCCTAGCCTACTACTGTGTTCTTACACCAGGAAAGAAAGTGACCAAGTGGTTGCTATCGTTTAGTTTATAATCATAAGGAAAAGTCTGTAACTAGTTACAACTTAGAAAATAGAATTGTACTCCAACAGAAGAAAATATCTAAAAATGAGTCATTTCCCTTCTGTCTTTCAGAAGATGAATCCCAACTACTTTCATATCAGGACAGCTGACTGACAGCGTAGCAGACAGGCCAGCAGAAATAGAGCTGTTCCGTTTTCCCTAGTAGAGTCTGTCTTCCACGGATGCACTGACTCACTGTCCGATCACGTTGCCTTGTGATTTAGCTTCGTTTTAGAGTTGGTTGGGTGGAATTTGAAGGTTTGTGAAAGATGTTTGAATTTTGTTTTCTGAGTTGTAGTTGAAACCTGGAGAGAAGCTTGAGTAGAGAATGTCTGGGTCACATTCTTCTAGGAAGACCTAACTGTGTGTATTTGCTAGCAGGTGTGGACTGGAAATCATCCCTGGAGCAAGTCTTAGCTTTCTAAGGAAATGGTTGTCTAGTAAGCTTCAGAACTGTTTACAGTTCACTGTGGTGTGTTGGAATGCCTTGAACGTCATGTTCCATTTCTGTGGTTAGTGATGCTCCCTTAGGGTTCATTTGACGTTCCCAGCCATCTTACTGTCCTCGAGAATTCTTTAGTCCATAATATTTCCTGACATGGTGTGATGTAGATTATGTATGTGCCTGTGTGCATCTGTAAGTATGTGTGCATTTGTGTATCTGAGCGTGTACATGTTTGCATGAGTGTGTATATGTATGTATGCATGTGTGTATATAAGTATGCACACATGTATGAGTGTTTGTGTCCATGTATTTGTGTGCATCTGAGTGCATATGCATGTTTATGTATTCATGCATACGTATTAATATGTATATTTGTGTTCATGTGTGCTTGTATGTGTATTATGTGTGGGTATATGTGTGCTTGCATGTATGTGTTTGTGTGTGCATGCTTTCTTGTGTGTAAGTGCTTATGTATGTGAATGTGTGTGCATGTGTGTGTGCATGTGTCCATGTGTTTATGTATGTGTGTGCATATATGTATGTGTGTGCATGTGAGTTGATGTATGCATATCTATGTGTGGATGTTTGTGTGTGTATACATGTATGTAACTATATCTGTGTGCATGTGCATGTACATGTGTATGTATGCATATCTGTGTGTGTATGGGCTTATATGTGTATATACCTGTGTATGTTTGTATATGTGTGTGTGTCTTTGTGACTGTGTATATGTGCATTTATGTATATGTGGTGTATGAATGTGTGCACGTGCTTGTGTGTGTGTATCAGACTCTCTCTGAGAACCCCTGCATAAGGCTAACCTGAGCAAGGCCTTTCACACATTCAGGCTGTAACTGGGATGGTTCTTCCTGGACCTGGTTTATTTTGAACTCGTTGGAGATGAGCTTTCCTAAAAACAATCTAATTAAAAGTCCCACTTTAGCCTTGATGTGTCCCCATTTTCCCCAGTTCTCCCTTAATAATTCCTGTCTGCCCTGGTCCTACCTCTCTTGAGCTCCTTCTGAAACAAACTTGTTTTCAGGGAGTGAAGGGAGTATTATTTAATGGAATCTAGAACGTTTTTGTGAATTCTCTCTCCTCACTGCTAACCTAAGCTTTGGTGATAAGAGTGAAGTCTTTTTCTGCACCCGTTTAGGCTTGTACGGGTGGCAGCTGTACACTGAGTGAGCTGAGCGAGTCCCGCACAGAGGAGATGTTTCCAGAAGGTGTGGCAGCCCCCAGAGCCTGCTCCTACTCACTCAACTCCTTTCACATCTCCTGGACTGAGCCCGAGTATCCGAATGGTAAGTGAACTCTTTTAGCTTCAAGTTAAAAACATGATTAGCAAAAGTAAATTAATATTCTAAATGGCAGCTTATATGTGGTACTTAATTTTTAATGATCATTTTAGCACATAAAATACTTGAGGTGCTCTCCTTATAGTTAGGGAGACGGTGGTGTTTAGGCTGAGACAGTTTTGGTGGCTCACAAGTGCTCCCTTTTGATAGCTCTTGTGTACTGCATGTCGTTTCCTGTGCTCTAGCAGAGGGCACGGGAACACACAGGGATTCCGGAAGGATGCTGCTTTGAGACTGACATTGTGTCTTTTAGGACTTTCTGTTTTGAGGAACCATTAGTTCTTCCTTGCAGAGGTAGGTAGGGAGTTCAAGTACATATTGTATTTCAAAGTAGTTTTGATTTAGTAAGTTTGTTTTAAAAGAGGCCACTTGGAACTGTAGTCGTTAATATACTATTCATAAATATTTCAGCATGAAGTTGTTAAACAATGCATGCGTTAAGCATACATACAGTTATGCTTATTTAACTTAAGGTATATTGTATTTCTCTGTGATATATGTGTCCTTGTGCAGTTTAGAGAACTAAGCTAGGCAGCTCAACATCACAAATATAAGGCCTCACTATAAAGAAATTTGAATCGGTTTTTATAAGACACTGCTTTATTTGATTATTTGATTATTGGAAATATCTTTAAGATTTGTACAATATAGTACAATTGTTTCATCCTGACACTAGATAACAGGATGTCAAATTTTGTTCCTCTTTGCAACAAATATCAAAAGAATTAAGATTGTAGAAACTATCTTAAGTAACTCACTACTGAAAATTGAAATGGCTTCTTTCAGCATAGCTAGAGAGAACGAAAGGAGAACACTGTGGAGTTATTAGTTTGCCTCATGTTTACCGTGATATTAATTATTCTATCTCATTTTAATTAAACTTTTGGCAAATGCAGTAGCTACATCTGAGGTAATGGTGAGAGTCCGATAATTAGAGTGAGTGATTATCTCGGCTGTCGACACTCTTCCTGTACAATTACAAATTTCCTAATGAAATATAAATGGACGTCTAGATTGAGCAGTCAAAACTCATGTCACACTTCCTACTCCACAAAGAAATCCCATTCACAGGTGAAACGAAATGTTAACGATCGTTCTGATTGGCTGGCTGCTAAGTGCTGCTACCTGATCTGCATAGGGCACCTCCCTTCTTCCTAGTTGATAGTTGGAACTCAGACTGCTACTGCCTTACACTTTCTGTTTATAGATGGAAATGCTTTTCCCATTTCAATGGTCTTTACTTCCTATGTCCTGTGCGTTTGCAACACAATATTTAAATATATTCAACAAGCAAGAAGAAATGGAGAATGTTTTGTCAGCACTTCCATGATCATCTAACTTGTGTATAATAACGGTAGAATTTTCAATACTTTGGTGTTGGGTCACTGGTGGAAGAGTTCTGGAGAGATGGCTCAGCACTTAAGAGTGCATGCTGCTCTGCAGAGGACCCTAGTTCTGCTCCCAGTATCCAACTCCCTGTAACTCCAGCTCCAGGGAATTTGATATCCTCTTCTGGCCTTCAAGGAACCTGCACTCATACATACACATACCACCCCCCCCACACACACATACACATAATTAAAAGTAAAAATAAATATTTTGTTTAAAAAGTTTTAAGGAAACTACTTTTCATGACTCCTTGACTTTCCTAAAGTTTCCAGGGTTTCATTTCTAGAGTTGGTTTTCTGGAGAGGGGTCATCTGTTGCTAAAAGCATTTTACCAATTCTGCCTCTTTTCAGAGACTCTGTGCTTCCCTCAGATGCCTACAAAGCAAAATCCAAATCCTGTGACTTCTAAACTGCGGCTCAACCTCCCTTTATACCTCTTGTCACCTGGTGGCATTTCTTCCCATGTGGCTACCCAGGAGTATCTGTGACTTAATGTAATGCCCAAAACACGTGAAGTCAAATGGGCCTAGTGTCAAAGACTGTCCCTGAAGCAGGATGACTGTATGACTCTGAGAAACTTACTAAATTCACAAATTGAGGTCAAACTCCCTCCCATTATAATCTCATCTGTAGGAGCACAACTTCTTCCTGATCAACCACAGCGGTCCAGGAAGCCACATTTGTGTTTAAGCCCGTCATCTCCCCTTAATCATGTCTCTGTTCAGTGCCTTCCTTGTGGCACTTTGGGCTTCTGTCGACCTGGGCTTCAAGTTACTTAACTGCCTGTCCAGCACTCCCACCATATAACAAAACCTGCAAATCATTCATTTTTTTCTTGTAGAAAGCATAACACAAGGGCATGCCTTTCTTTGGTGCCCAAACTTAGTCCATGTGATTCTTGTGAACACTGTCCTCTTGGCTTTGCCACACAGTGCTGAAGAAATGCTTTCAGGTGATTCTGAACAGTGTTTCTCAAACTTATGTGATCACTGTAAACCCATTGGTGGTATTGATCTAAGAAGTAGATTTTCAAGAAGAATCTCCTGTTACGGTGGTGATGATGAAGCTGCTGGTGGGTGTTAACACATCCACCTGAGACTTCTCCTTAGGACCCCGTGTTAGTCACGTGTCACATTGCTGGAACCAAATACTTTATAAAAGCAGTTTAGGCAAGGATGGCTTTACTTCGGCTCATAGTTTGGAGGTACAGTCCGTCATGAAAACCAGCAGTTATGGCAGTGGGGTCTTGAGGCAGCTGGTCATGGTGCATCAACCATCAGGAGGCTAATCCTTGATCTCAGTAGTATTTGAGTTCCTTGGAGAAAATGGCTTTGAAACAAGTAATCCCAAGGTATCAATATGGAAAAACAGCTATTGAAGAACTACAGGGCGTGGGCTGTCTTGTCTCCACATCACAGCTGTAGATCCAGAGATGCACACATAGCACATGATGGCCTGTGACAGGTGCTGCTTGCCTGGTTTCCTACAGTCAGTCTCACATATAAGCTCCAAAACCTCATTGCAGTTAAGTCTGGTAATAATCTTTACCCAAGATGCTAAGGGAAGTACCCCTGTCTCATCGGGGCTCTTAAAGAAAAGAGGTAAAAGCTGTCGACCTGGTCCCACTCACCAGTGTCCTACCAACCTGGACATGCTTCATGTGCCCAGAGCCCTTCCTATAGTACTCCGTTTCATTAACTACTATAACAGCAGCTCTGAAGATAGTGCCTGGTACATTATTTTTTTTACAACTAGGGCTGAGGAGATTGCTCCTCAGCAGTAAAGTACTTACTTTGCAAACATCATGACCTGAGTTCAGATCCCCAGTACTCTGTAAAAGCTAGGTGTGGTAATGTGCATGTAATTCTAGAGGTGAGGGGATGGAGTGGAGAAGATCCCAGGGGTTCACTGGCTAGCCAGACTAGCTGAAACTCAAGGTCCCATGTGATTGAGAAACCCTTTCTCCAAAAATAAAATGCAGAGTAATAAAAGATTCCTGATGTCAACTTCAGGCCTCCACACGTGCATGCGTGGGTGCACACACATGTTCACAGTACACATCTATCACACAGTGAATGTCTGTGGATATATGAATAAATAAAATGTGGTAGACACATGCAGTGGAGTATTATTAGTCTGAAAAGGAAAGAAATCTGGTCACACACAGAGCTCATAGAATGTGAGATCAGGATCAGTGACATCCTGTCTGGGTGAGACAGATACTTCGGACCCCAAGTCTGTGAAATAGGTGTAGCAGTGGGTACAGAGGCACAACTGAACACAGTTCCCAAGGGCTGGGTGAATTAATGTACTGCCTGCATGTATGTTAGTGTACCTGTGTCATGTGCAATGCCCTTGGAGGTCAGAAGAAGGTGGTGGATTCTCCTGGAACTGGAGATAGTAACAGTTTCTAGCTGCCATGTGGGTGCTAGGACTCGAACTGGGGTCCTCTGCAAGAGCTGAGCCATCTCTCCAGCCTAAATTCAATAAAGTTTTAAGCTAGAGAAAAGGATTAAAAACCTGCTAGTTTAAAACCAATGAAAACTCATTAATAATCACATGAAGAAATACACACAAATTATATTAAATTTATTCAGCAAGGGCAAAATCACATTATTTGTCTATTGTGACTTATTTTGTTTTGAGACAGGGTCTCCCTGAAGCCCCAGCTAATTTGGAAACTCGCTGTGTAGACCAGGCTGTGCTCGGTCTCACGGAGATGCGCCTGCCCCTGCCTGCCTAGTACTGGGAATAAAGGTGCCTGGCAATTGCGACTTACCTATCACACTTAAAACCCTGACCTCATGACCTCGTTCTTTGAAAGGCAGGTAGAATCCAACAGTGCTGTGGGAATGAAGCCCTCATCCTTTGCTGATGGGCATATAACTCATATTTTGATCCTACAATGCATGTTCCTTGTTATGAATGTCTCCATCTTCCCAATATGCGTGCGTTTGTTTGTTGTCTGTGAGACAGAATCTCATATGTAGCCCTGGCTGGTCTGGAACTGACTTTGTAAACCAGGCTGGCCTCAAACTCACAGAGATCTGCTGGCCTCTACGTGGAATTACAGGTCTGCAGAGTTCCGACACAAGCGTTTAGCATCAAGTTGTGGTCACTTGATTCACACCTAAGATTTCGCGTGCCTTCAGACATGACTTGCTTAATTCCAGGGCCTCGCCTCCCATACCCGTAGCCCTGGCAGCCCGGCTCTCCAGCTCTGTGTTTCTGCAATCAAAGCCCTTTGTGCCCACAGTCCCCCTGGTACAGGTAATCTTTGCGAGCTGTGGTTCCAGAGAGTGTAAAACTTCTAAGAACGGTTACTTTTAGGGCCAAAGAAAATACAAGAACTCTCCTCGAGCAGGACCCGGACTCTGGTCGTGTAGTGCCTTTGGCCACCAAGGAGAAGCAGCACGGGGATCATTGTCTAATGAATTTGTGACCTGTATTGTGTAGATTACAACTGCATAGTGAGTATGATGCTTTTGAGAGCTTCCCAATTCTCCTGAGCTGTATTTCCCTTTTAGAAGCTTGGGCCCTAGAATCTTGAAAAACCT